AACTTGACTTTTTTCAATAATTTTTAAAATATGTGAATTAAAATAGTTTATTACACCCTTAAATGTGATTTAATGATAACCTATACATGACATTTTTTGCTCCAGATGAACACATCTTTATCACGTAGTAAAAAAAAAAAAATAAGCAGGGATATAAACTAGTATTCATTTTATAGAAGTTATGTTTTAAAATGGTTACTGGAAAATGTTTCAAAAAGAAAGAAAAATCCGGAATTGGTTTGATAAAATCTGAAAGGGGAAAAAGTGGGCAACAGACACTAGAGTGACAACAGAAATTATGATAAAACAGGAAGAAAAGAAAAGCGGAAAAAAGAATCTTTGATAAGTCTATATTTTTATAACTGATTATACCAATTTCTTTTTTCACAAGAAGAAATTGTTTAACATAATGCCTAGACTCATGTTTGTGTATTATAATCTATTACTGATGAAAAATTTAGTAACACAGACAAAAAGTATGGGGAACTTGTTAAGAACTCTAAACCTCAGCAGAAATCTATCAGACGAAGGCAGAATCAATCATAAAACTAAAAACAAAAACCAGTGTGCCAGTCTTCCTTGAGAGACTCTTTGTCTTGTAAGCTGTGACTTCAGGTCATCAGTATTTTGTCTTGGTTTGTTTTGTTTTCTGCCACCACTGAGGAGGGAAGCCGAATGGCAGGGTAATCATCCTCCAAAACACCACGCGTCACACTGGCAGATGCCTTCATAATTCAGAAAACAAATGAGGCCCTATCTTTTATTATGTTAGACTCTTTCTTCTGGACTTCCGAGGTTGGCAGCATTTTATGGCCATAGCGTTTTTGCCTACCGTATGGAGAAAAGGAGCCCGAAATATCAAGTCCAGAAGAGGCTAGGGTTAAGCAGAGCAACGACATGCAGATATTGACAGAGCTCTAGTCCTATCAATTCTATCGGATACTAGTCTCTGCCTTCAACTTTCCATTTAGGAGAATTACTACTAATTTCTTACTTCTCCTAAGTTGGTTTTAGTTTCCGCCACTTCCAATAAAATAACCCAAGCTAATACAATAATACATTTTATTTATTTCCATGCCAAATACCTTAGTAGAATTATAAGGCAAATTTAGTAGAAGATAATTTCCTTTCCAGGATCATAAATTAAATTAATGAATCTCCCCACCCTTTCCAATACCATTTTTAAAATCCCAGAATAAGGAATCTAAAGCTGTATTTCAGGCTATTACAATGGGGTGGGGTATTTATACAAGAAGTATGGCTATTTCAGCTAAAGTTGTTTCTTTAAATCCTGTAGGGAAAATGTGTTAAACATAAGGTGCATGTGTGTGTGCGTGTGTGTGTGTGTGTGTGTGTTGTCTGTGTGTATACACACACACACACACATATATATATATATCCATGAATAAATAGTTTTTTCCTCTTTAGAGATAAATATCCTAAATACTAAGGTCCTAAATCCTATATGTTAGTCATAGAAGACAAATTTTTATGATTTTTTGACACATTTGTACTGCTAGACTTCACTTAAGCATATGAAGCACACATGTTACCCTGACAGCAAAGAAATGAAAATTATGCACTATATATATATTTTCAGTGGCATCTTTGTAGACCTTGCCAGTATGTGAACTGTTAGAACATGGCTGAATGTCAATTCTCTGCAGGAATTTTAAAGCAGGTTTATTATAGTGATGAATATATTTGGTCATAAATTTTACTATGCAGAAAAAGCAAACTTTCTCCAAACATGAAATTTTATAAATAGGCATTAATTGTTCAATAAAGCAAGGCTTTTGAATTCTGGACATTTTATTAATACTGATATGGCTTTTCAGTGGTTTTCTTCCTTAAGAAAAAAAAGTAACATTTCCTTTATTTTAACATTATGAGATTCAGTGTGTAGTTTCAGTAGTGACCTCTTCTGTCAGACTACCTCAAGAAAAAACAGCTTAAAATAGCACTGTATGAACATAGGTGATTTAGAACATTCTTTAAAGGAAAGAATTCATCAGTAAATGAGAATTTTAATCACTTTTAATAATTATTGAAAACACCTTCACAGTTGTGTTATTTCATTCTCCTGCAATTGACACTGCTCTTATTTCTTTCTCAAGATTGAAACTAAAATCATAGCTAAAATATAGACAATTTTCAGGTTTGAAATAAATTGGATAGGCCAATTTTTCTGACTATTTGCAAGATTTTTTTTCCTTTAGTACAGACATTTAATTAAATTCTTAGTAAATGAACTAATATTCATTATTAAAGCAAAGTATGAATAATGCAAAAGGAAAACTCCTCCCCAAATATGGGATTTGAGTGAATATAATTTACTTACCTATATACAAATGCAAATAGGCATTCGCATGGAATTGTAAAAATGAGATAATTCTGTGAGAGAAAGTCTGAAATAGGTGTAGTATCAATAGGGCAAAATTTTATCTTATTTGCATGAATGAAGAATAGTAACATACAGTTTTGTCTGTGGCACAGAATTCTTTGCAGTTCATTCTTTAACTAACTATAGACTGTGGCTTTTTGTCCTCATGTTCCAAAATTGCTGAGCTACCATATCAACATTCCAAGAAGTGGAAAAGAATCACTACTAACTAAAAATACAACATGAACCATATATCTGTGTGTGTATGTATACATATAAATATGTACATCGTGGATATGTAGTATACCTATATAATGTTATATAAAAAGTTACAAGTTTTCAGTATCCCATGTTAAAAAATAACAAGGAAAATAAATTTTCATGATATGCCATTTCAATATGCAATCAGAATAAGAAGTTATGAACAAGAAATATTACCTTCTTTTTCCTTACAAAGTTTGACAATTTTTATACATTTTATATTTTTAGCATTTCTCAATTCAAACTGGCCCCATACTAAGTGTTTAGCCTTTGGCTGATGGTTACCACATCAGACACTTTCCATTTAAGATTGGAAGCAATGCAAACATGCTAACTCTCATCACTTCTAAGCAAAATTGTTCTAAAGCCTAGCTAGTTCAATAGATAAGAAAAAAATGTGTAAAAGATTAGAAATAAAGAAATGAAACTGCTTTTAAACAGAAATGACATGATTATCTATGCAAAAAAAAAATCACCAAATTCTCCACCCCTTCTGTGTGTGCGCACGCATGTATGCCTACACACATGCACGCACGCACTCACACACACACACACACACACACACACACACAATCCCTCCTGTAATGAGTTCAGCAAGGTTGCAGGATACAAGATTAATATACAAAAAGCAAATTGCTTTTATGTACATCAGTAGTGATTTTCAACTGGAATTGAAAATCAGTGATTTGTCTTTGTCTTGGAGAATAATTTTTTCTTCATTTTTAAAGCTCAATAATGAAATATCTCAGGATAGAGAATTCAGTATTCCCAGATATGTGGTATGAACTTTGAATTTTCATATTGCATTATTTTGTCACATGAATGCTTTAACTGTAGTATTAAATGTTAATTTGGTTCTATTAGTTTGTCCACTTCAGGTACTACCAAATTCTGATGGACTTCTTTGCTCTTTATTGTCTTATACATCTATTACTTTCTTATAAATTCTGTTTTTATGATTATTAATGTTTATGTTCTTGTCTTATTTTTTCTGAATATCTATTACTTTACTTTTGTTTGTATTTATTATTCTTTAGGTACTTATTAATTTTATCTTCATTTCTGAGATATTTAGAAATATTTCTTTCTTTAAATCAGTCAGTTCCACTTCACGTCTTTTTGTTTTTTTTATTCTTGGTTTTTTTGAATTTCTTAATCACATTGTTACTTTACTTTTTCAATTCCTGTTTATTATTTTTAAGTTCAACCTGTGTTTTGTGCTATGTTTTTATTATATTTCATGAATTGAATTAAGGAATATGCATTAACCTAAGAGTTTTTATTATTTTTACTTTTTAGAATATTTTTATGTGGATGTTGGGTTTTACTTTTCTTTGTCATACTTGTTTTTGGATTCTCCTGTACCAGTAATTGAAGGATACTTCCAAAAGAGCAGAGGTGGTTTTTCTGATGTCTAAATTCAAGGCCTTCCCCCTCTGCTACAAAATAAAAGCTGCTATAAAGGACAGTTTTTTGTTTAAAATATAGGACACTTCTTTCTTTTTTGTTACATCTCCTAATTCTTTGCTTCTCTCTTCTCTCAGTAGGGTCATCTTCATTTGCTCCTTTCTTTCTTTTTACCACCCAGGACACCCAAGGATGCCTCTAACTTCAAAGGTGTCTGCCTTTCACAGAGGCTTTGACTTCTTAAGTTAGCCATCTCTGGTCCTATGCATTTTCCAAGCCCTTTACTTATGACTTACCAGTAGTGAGTGGTCTAACCTGCCATGCTTCCCTCTAGAATGATGCCTTCTATCTCTGAAGGTGAACTGTAGTTGGTAATGCCTGTGTTCTGTCACCAGATGACCCTGTTACACTCCTCTTTCACTTCCATTCAGTACCCTGTATCCCCATCTGGATGGGATCTGCAGTTAATTTTTCTGGTCTTGGGTATTTATATCCCCTATTAAAAAATAATTTGAGTTTTATCACTCTCTGAAGTGCAAGATTTAGTCATTTTGTTTTTACTGATGTCTTCTAATTTAATAGAAAATTCAAAAACATTAGATTATAGAAGGTTACCATATTCTCCTACATGAACCCAGAAACTTCTGCATATTTCTTTATCACTTAAGAGTACTATATGGACATTGCTCCAAAATAATTTTTTTTGGTTTCATTAATTCTAGATAATATCTACACTGTATTTTTTATCATGTATGTATTAAAATTTATTTTACTTTTGTTAAAGATTCTTAGTTACATACAGCGAATTGACTCTGGTGTATTTAAGCAAAACCTTGATTTACTAAATTTTAATATGTAAAGTAACTATACAATTTATGTCAGTCTTATTTTTAAGTCTTTTGCCCTGGGGATAATGTATGATTGTTTTCACCCTCCCTTTCACTGTCAGATATGTCCTGGTTGATGAGAAAGTTTATGGTCACCTAATTAGTGTCTCATGCAATTTCTGGGGAGCTGGAGAAAGATATTTGAGACTACTCTTCTATGAACAATACCCTAAATCACCCTGAAAACTGGCCTGGTGATAATGCTGCTGCTTTGGTTCTGTCAACACAAAGCTTCAAAGAACAGGCTTTCTACTTCATTGCAATAGGTATTGCTGTCCATGACATTTCTGCCTCAGTGACTGTACTATGCATCTACTAACAACACTGAAAATCTGTCCTTACAGGAATGAAGATAGCTTCTCAACCAGGGACTGTTTTGTCATGCTTTTCAATTCAGAATCAGGCTCCAGTGAGTGCATCTTCCTCCCCAGCACACAAGTGAGAGCTTTCCTTGCAGTTAGGATATAGGCAATAAGACACACTCAGTATAATATTCCTTTAATGGTTGTTTCCTGGCTAGAATAGAAACGTAGAAATGCCTCCCCTTATTTAAACATATAGTTTCCTAAGATGTTTTTTTCTCTTTCAAGTTTTTTATTTACTTACTGAATGTGTGTGTGTGTGTGTGTTTTAATATGTTTCTCTTGGGGTGCCTAGGTGGCTCAAAAGCACCTGACTCTTGATTTTGGCTCAGGTCATGATCTCATCGTTCATAAGATCAAGCCCCACAGGTAGTGACAGCATGGAGCCTTCTTGGGATTCTTTCCCTCTCTGCCCCTACTCTGCTCATCCTCTCTCTCTCTCTCCAAATATAAATAAATAAACTTTAAAAACTTAAAAATAAAAACTTAAAATAATAGAGTAAATAAAAAAGATTTTAAAAAGGAAAATTCCTTTAAAAAATGCTTCTCTTCACTAGGAGTTATATGTAAGTGATGAATCACTAAATTCTACCCCTGAAATCATTATTACCCTATATGTTAACTAACTTGGATTTAAATTGAAAAAAAATAATGCTTCTCTTAATTCCTTGGAGACCCACACATCAGTATCATCCCACTGATTATACACTTGAAACTCATCAACTATATGGTATTTTAAAGGGCAAAATTCAATATTCTTAAATCCAGTATCATACTTCCAGAGTAGTTCATAAATTAAGCATGCCCATAGAATAATCCCCAAGGATTAAGTGACTCTTAAAGTCATTGAATTCATAGAAGTGGGGCAACAATAACAGATGGGAAGACTTAAAAAATGTGATCATTCTTTACTAAATTATAAAACTGTATCCTACATAAGGGAGGAGAGACTGTATTCTATTAAAAGATAGAATTAGGATGATGAGTTACACAATACAAAAATTAATATTTCTAATTATTAGATTTAAATATTTTTTTGCTGTTAACAGAATTTTTTTGCAGAAAAAAATCTGTTTTGCAGATTTTTATTCTTAATTAGCAAAATCCACTTCCAAATCTAAGACTAGGAATGTGCTTCTATGCAAAGGCTTTATTTTTAAATAACAAGGAAAAAAGCTATTCAAGAGACAGTATTTTATCCATGAATGATCCTACAATATCATCCCAGAGGACACTTTTGTCAAATCATTGGTAAGTCAAAGAACCCAGAAAGTAGCACATTTTGAGTTTTTACATGACTGGTTATATACATGTAAAACTAAATAAACATAGTCTGAATTTATCACATGCCTCATTAAGAATAAAGAAAACATTCATCATTTAACAAAAGTGATCTGTGGACAAAACTATCATTAGTGATATAAATATCTATACTTTCATCAAAACTAAGTAGGTACAATTATTATATCAACATGAACGCTCCTAGGATGCAACAATGTAGGGAACCTTAGTTTTGTTGCCACCATACTTTTTAATTTTCTCAGTGAGACTGGGCCTTTCCCTGATGCTAGATGGAATCTTAGGCAGGCTCTATGATTTCTATTGTCATGTTTATACAACTAAAGTCCTTACACTCACATTTTAGTAATTAAATCAAATCACAGTTCAGTATCTAAATCTTCCAGTGTTATGTAAGAATCAAATCTCTGAATTTACTTTTAGGTTGTGGCTTTCCCCTTTCCAAACTCAGGGTGCTATGGGCCCTCATCAGGAAATATGATGGTTTTGGTTCAGGACGCTCTCTCCTTATTCAGGGCCTGATCCTCCTCTCTCATTCCTTCAGGGCTGGAGGAGTGGTGGAGGAAGGAGAATGAAAATAGAGCATGGGGAGGGATTTCTTGCTTGATTGGTACTCTGCTGGTTATCCAGTAGCAGCCCTTTCTGGACTTGGAAAATCTTAAAGCAGACTGTTTCTTTTATACGGAAGTCTTTGGGTGCAATGGAGTCCCTCTTCCATTACTTTTATCTGAAGTTCCCTCCAATGGATAAATGTAACTCTGTTCTGTGCGTCACCACCAGAAGCCTATCTCTAGCTTCCTTCCCCTAAGCTGCTCTCATCCCTCCTTGGAGGATCTCTTAGACAGCTTTCAAGAATGGTCTTCTCATAGTTGGAGGGAAAAGCACTCTTCCTCTGTTCCCGTAAGTTCTGATGATGCAGTTCTTTTTCAAAGTACAGTTTCTTAACTCTGCTACTACAGTTCGAGGTAGGTAACATCTAACCAGCTTGGTTCCTCACGTGTACTCAACACCACCAGAATGGGTTGAGATTCCTAGCACAACTCTCTCTAAAGGTACCTTCATTTTGCTACTCTTCTATGATGTCCATTGCATATCATTTTACACCCTTGAAATGGCTGAGAGATTTACTTGTTTGTTTTCAACTGATTCTGGAATTTCTCCTTTGAAATTATTTGTGTTTTGGACTATCACCTCACTTTGGAATGTACTTCATTTGCAATTTCCATGTTAGCCTCAAGTTTCCATTGAGTACATTTTCATGAGAATTCTCCTTCCCTTCCCTCCTTCACTTGTACCTTGTATAAGAAATGATAAGTTCATTAAAAAATATGGAACAGTATATTCGTTTTTTAATATTTCTTTTGTGTTTTTTCCCAGACACACATCTATTTTATATTAATTGAATTGATAGGATATGTATGAACTAGTTTTAATTACTATTTTAAGATATATTTAACATGGTCATAATTTTAACAATGAGTTTTCTCGAAGAGTCTTCCCAGAATTTTAGAAAGAAGCAAATAAATATTCATTCTTTAACCAAAGTTTTGGGGGATAATAGATTCAGAACTTTTGTGTATATAGTTTTGTTTGTAATTTACATTAATAGCACCCTAAAAAGTTATATATATTTTTAGAAAGCCAATGGAATTAGTTAAAGCAGTTGCCTTTTTCACAGGACTAGTGTTCAGGGTGCCCATGAATATTGACAACAACCCAGAACTCTGGTAGTGTTTTGCCTACTTGATCCTCATCACATCTAGGCCTGCAACAAAAATCATAAGTATGGTAAAGTAAGACAAAACTCTGAATCTTTATTCTATTATTTGCCCACTCATATTCATGGAACGTGCATTTATTGAGTGCCATTTTATATAGGCATTGAGGTAGGAACTATGGGAAATGCAAACAAATGTGGATTTATTTTCATATTTCAATATGGTATAAGAGATATCAAATATCACAGTAATAAGTATACAAATTAAAATTTTAGAAACTAGTGTGGGTTATTCCTACATAACCATAATTTATATTACATCATTTAATCTTCCCAACAATCCTTCAAAGTAAGCATAAGTAATATAGTTTCAACTGAGGACACAGAATCTTAGAGAGGTTAAATTTATACAAGGCCAGACAGGTAATAAATGACAACGGTAATTTTCAGCCCTCTAAATGGCTCTAGAACTATTATGGCCTTGTGTGCAAAGCAGTATTCCTTTAAGAGAGATTCAAGGAAAGTTTTATTACTCTTCAGAAAAAAAGAATGGTACGATCTATAGAGAAAAGTGGCATATTTTGTAAAGATAAAGAAGGTTGCATCACCAGCTATTTCACAGGTAAATTATATCTGTTAGGGAAAAGGGCAATTGAGTTTGAATTGTCCAATTGATTTTCTAGACTGATCCAATTTTCTTTGCTTAGGTCTATGTGACTAAAGCCCGAGAGAAATATTTTATATATCCCACAACGCTAGCCATTCTAGATAGCTTCTCCCAATTTTTGAGAAGTCACAAGTATTATTCCTCTCGTTGCACAGTGGTTCTCATGAGCCACAGTAATAGGAATCCAGTGAATATTTAAACTACCTAACTTTCACTCTTATCAAGGATATACAACTCAGTGAGATGCATGTATTCTTTGGGCAGTGAGTGGATTTTTCATGTGGTTTTAAGTTGCTTGTATATTGAAATTAATAATTGTTATGATGGTAATATAGACCAAACGTGAGAAGGATATTCGTAAAGTCATTTTTAACGAACAACTACATAACTAGTCAAAAGCCTTGTAACTTTGCCTTTACTTCAGTTATAGTAATATAAGAACTATCACCATTCTGTCAGCACCAGGACATTTCATCTTGATATCTATATAGTTTTTTTTATTGATTACTCTACTATTTACATCATATATTATTATTTTAAAAAACTTTTTACTGTTCATTTATTTTTGAGGGAGAAAGTTGGGAGAGGGGCAGAGAGAGGGAGACAGAGGATCCAAAGTGGCTCCATGCTGACAGCACGGAGTCCGATGTGAGGCTCAAACTCAGAACCATGAGATCATGACCTAAGCTGAAGTCGGACACTTAACCAACTGAGCCACCCAGGCACCCCAACGTCATACATTATTTATCTGAAAATACTTGACAGCATACTAACTTTGTTAGTATAAACCTACATAAACCTAACCACTTCAGCAAAAGATCTGATTTTTAAGCTATTCTGGTTAAACTAATGATATATATAACACTATTAATATTTTTATGGCAAAGTACTTTTCATGGCTTTTTAGATAAGTCCTTGAGTAAATATATTTAAACTTCTAAAAGCTATCTACCTTTCCTCTTATCCTCTAAGAATTATTAGTTTTTTTTAATTCTACACAAACCTTTTAATTTTAATGGCATAATTAAGTGAAAAAAGTGCTGAAACTTTAAAGTAAGGTAATTATTTTTTTTAATTGGCTGACATAGCTATCATAGAGTACATATAAACTTATGTATCATAGAGTAAAAATACTCTCAGATAAAAATGTCCCCATGTTGCTCATATTTGAAAGTACATGAATTAAATATGCCTCCAACATCTCTGGTGGTACATGGAATTTTTATGTCTTAACTAGGCTTTTGTATTTATTTTATATAAAAACACTACTATGCCACTAAAACTTTTATTTTTCTGTAAATGTCATAGCATAAGATATAAAAAACATAGCATTGGCTTCACTTAAAATGCTCTAGTGTAATTTATCCCACAATTGAGTCTCAATCCTATTGAATATAACATTGCTACCTTCCTCTTCTTATGGACTCAATATTTACTTCATCTGTATGTGGTCCTTGTCTTTGGAATTTCAACTGCTTCTTTATGTTTGTGGCTTAAATGCATATCTCTTCATTTTTCTAACACACTGATCTCTAATTTTATATTTTTTAAAATTTAAAATTTTCTAAGCCTGCACCTGATGCATCAAAACAATTGTCTAGTTAGATAGTCTAAATTAATTAGACTTAAGTGAATATTATTCAAACTATACGGCAAGTAATTTAAAAGTCCCTGCTCTGGGATTAGATCTCCTGGCTCTAACACCTTTTAGCTGTGTACTACTGGGAAAGTTACTTAAACTCTTAAAGCATCAGTTTTCTAATCTGTAGTATGGGGATAATAATAGTAACCCATTGCATTGGACTGTTGTGAGCACTAAAGGGATAATCTACATAAGCACTTAAAACACTATCTGGCACAAAGCATGCACGTATAAAAGATTTTTTCTTCTTTTCATTCCTTTAATTATTACTAAATAATAATTCTTATTATATAATTCAATTTAACTTGCAAGGTACCTCTACAAAACCCCATGGAGCCGAATATAGGGCCAGACACAAGATATAAAATGAATAACATGTAATCACTTTTGAGGAAAAGTAAGAAACCACAGAGATAATATATGACAGACCAAAGAAAAAAGGAAGAAACACTGAAAGAGATTTGAAATTATTCCAGCTCACTTTTATGATTAACTCTAAAGATATCAGATATAGAAGATTCTATCAATAAACAAAATTAGAACTTTAGCTCAAATTATAAAGAATTTCATGTTTATCTATTCATTCTCACTTTTGGCTTAAAACTTAACTTATGCATTTTCCACATTTTAATTTTGTGCATTTTTTTCCCTTGGTCATTTGTGCTTGAGTTTATAGCTTATAATTATGTTAGAGTTTATAGTTATTAACAGACAGTAGAGTTTATACTTATTAATATAACTCCTATTAAGTTCCCAGATTTCTTAATACAATATCCATTTGTGTATTTCTAATTGACATGAGACACTGTACTATAAATTATTAAAAATGTCTCCATTTGAAGGGGTCATAATTTCCCCAATAGACAATACTTTTTATTAAGTTCATATTTCCAAAATTGTTTTTGATAGAATATTTAGTTTATATCCCATCAAAATGAAACTTTTATTCTTCATAACACTGGTCACTACCTAATGTTGAGTTACGCAGCCAATTATTTATTTGTGCATTTATTGTTTCTCTTTCAGTAAGCTATAAATTTCATGAAGGGGCAGAGACTTCCTCTCTACTTTTCATGGCACTGCCAGTGGCTTGCACACAGAATATGTGGGTTATATTATGTGGCATTTCTTAAACTGCTTTGATCCCAGACCTTTTTCTCCATGAATCATTTCATAGAACTAATATTCTATGAAAGATATTTGGAAAGGGCTATGTGCTATATTTTTTCAGTTTGGGTCTCCAGGTCTTCTCTATCCTTTTCTTCTTACAGCTTGCCCTAGATGCTGTCTTATACAGTCAAAATCGACAGGCTCCCTTTCCTTTGGCCTCTAGGTGGATTCAGTCAATCAGTGGTAGCGACAACCCAAGGAAAGGAGGAGAAAGGATGAATGAAGACACTGATTCCCAAGTCCCTCCTTTCAGGTCACCGTGGGTTGGCTGCATCTCTAATGAAGGCAACAGCTGCTATGCAGTGACCCTCTCCATAAAACCTCCCTCTCTGTAGAGGTAATTTTCCCCATTCCCTTGTCCCATCAGGGTATCTTTGGTGAATGCCACCTAGGTCCCCAACCTCTCCTTTTCCAACCCCAGGTTATTTCACTATCACTTGTTGGGCTTCCAAAATTCTGCACACCATGTCTTAAATAGTCCCTTTGTTAAAATCTCTTTAATTGCTCAGTTTGAGAATACCATCTGTTTCTTTCAAGGCCCTGGCTTGTGTGTTTTTTGTTTGTTTGTTTGTTTTTTTGTTTTTTTTTTCTGAGAGAGAGAGAGACAGCATGACAGGGGAGGGTCAGAGAGAGAGGGAGACATAGAATCCGAAAGAGGCTCCAAGCTCTGAGCTAGCTGCCAGCACAGAGCCCGACACGGGGCTC